GAAATGTTAGTGCATAGCAGAGTGTGAATTCTGTTTTCCTCTCCCAAACATTTCAGAGTCCCACTTGCCAAAGTCAGACACTAGAAGTGCAAACTAAACAAATCTAAACCAAATTTTGTGGGATTCACTGTTTTAGAAGTGATGATAAGGAACAAGAAGTCTCAAAAGGGAAAGAAAGGAACATCTGAATTTACTCTCTCACCTCTTCTGCCCATTAACTGATACCCCCCCCCAAAAAAAAACTTGAAAGTTCAAAATATACATGGGGACCAGAGTAACCCAACGCTTCCAGCTGCTGATCTCTACACTAGAACGAGGTCCATCTGACTTTAGAACCAAGAATATGTCTGTTTCACATGAGCAATCTTTTTGTTTTTACCCCATGGTCATGGTGGGCGTAGGATGCCCAGGCTACTAACAAGTTCTGAGCCCACCTCTGCGAAGGGTATATCTTTACTCAAAACCTTTTTAACTTCACTCCTGGTTCCATTGTGTCACCCTATCCTTGTTTTGTAATATCTTCCTGTTTCTTTCTAATGACCTGTCTTGTATTGTTTCTGTTTTTGATGGCTCTCTCTAGTACGCTACCTGGCACATTAGAGACACTCAAAATTGATTAGATTTCATTAAATTTCTATCCCCTCTCTGAAAATAAACCCCTTCTCTTTTTATAAAAGAACAAGTGAAAAACAAACCCTTCCCTTGAGATGATGCTGAGAATTGATAGTTCCTTTTCTACCATCATAAAAGAAAAAAAAAAAAGAGGCTGACCCATGAGGTTATTCAGCCAAACCATCCCCATTCCCCTGCCCCCACTTCTCCACACATCTTTTATTTTTAGGGTGAGAGCCTGTCACTATTTGCTTCACGTGCCCAGCAAAGTATGTCTAAGCAAAGCCCAACAGGTAGTTTCTCAAAACTTCTGTCCATCATCAGAATAAAAATAACTCTATTCACGTGTAAGATTCTGGAAGTTAGACTAAGAAAAGAAAAGTTTCAGTCAATTTTTCAAAGAATTGTAGAAAAGATGCAATTGCTGGACCTTCATTGCCCTGGAGGGGAACAAAAGAAGTTGCCACGAGCTGGGTTTCTTCACCTGGGAGAGGAAAGGTCACACCTGTGGGCCAGCTCTATGGTTTTTAATACTAAGGAGAATTTAAGGGATCTGGGAAAGCAATAAGGTTTATTAACAAAACTCTGGATTAAGAAGAGAGATGTGAAACTAAATCTTCCATTGAATGGCTGCCTCAGAGGTTTGCAAGGTTTCTATTTCCATATGTTAAAGCACAAAAGAAAGAATAACCCAAGACCATGGAAAAAAATATGTATATATTAACATACTTTGATTAGTACTTAAGTGTCTTGTGTATATAAAATGATTACTCGTATGTTCCTTTATGTTATATATCACACAGAATCTAAAAGTTAAATCTTTCCTATCCCCCACCTCCCACTAAAAAAAAGTATGATCTAAAATGCTGGGATTTTTATCTTTTCAGTCTACATTACATTTTCCAAGTAAGCATGGATAGTAAAGTTTCCATTTGTTGAAATGCATTCTGTGTATTCTAAACCAATCACATAAAATTATCTGCCAAGCATGTGATAAAATCATGAGATCATTAAATCTTCACCCCAAATTCATACCAGCCTCAAGAACATACACAGGGCTATAGTTTGAGCCATAGAAAAAGAAACCTAGAATCCTAGTATAGGATTCAGCAAAATGTCAAATCTCCTGGGACACAAAAGCTAGGAACATAAGATAAGAGCCATTGAACAGGACTGTCCCTGTGAACACCACATAACTAATAATTTTGCCCTCCTTAGAGGTTTCAGAGTTTCATATGTGACACTTGGTCAAAGGCTTTAGAAGATCATATGGACAATGTGATACTCCAATAAGGAAATATGTAAGTGAAAATTTATTGAGGCTTTATGCCTAGTCATCATTTAATCTTCACACAAACCCTGCCTGGAAGGCTCTGTTAACCCCTTTATGTAGATAAAGTTGATTCTGAGAAGCAAAGTAAATTGCCTACAGAAACGTAGTAACCGGATCTACGTAACACAACTTGGGCTCGTTCTACTATCTCATGCATTCGTAATGACAAGAGAAGGACCCATCAATAATAAAAGTAAATGAATGATTGACATATGGTAGAGTCAGTCTGATCATGTATGGAAGGGGCTTTATCTGGCCATTCCAAATATATACATTTGAGACCCTGAAGCCTGAAACTTTTAATAAGCAGTATTAAACCTGTACGGCAACCTTGCTAGACGGTCTCAAAAGTACTTTATATCTCATTTTACTTGGAAGAATCTTACCTAGTGACAGCATTATTGTCATTTGACTGACAAACATTTCTTCAAAAAAGAAAAAATTTTAAAAGCCAGACCAATTCACAAGAGCATAAGAAAAGAAAAAACTCCATTTTTAATGGAATGCCATTTTTATTGAGATCATTTCAATAACTTAGTACTGTTAGCCATGGGAACTACTACTATAAACTGTCTTGGCACAAAAATATGCAGAAGCCTGAGCATTTGTAATCTAAATTGGTTCTGTTCAAATTCAACCACAAATGGCTTATCTGTGATTTTTTTTTAATGCTTTGCTTCAGAAAACATTTTTAAAAACTGTAAAGACATGAGGCAGCTTTGAAGAAGGAAAAAAATTATTAAGGTAGAGATCTCCATCCTGCCTTAAACCCTTTTGATCCAAAGACAACCAACTGGTAGAAAATTTGTTTCATGGAGTCATAGGCTAATTTTATACTAGGTTGTAACTCACTGAGAAATTCTGCTTTTTTGGAAATAATTTCAGACCCTTAATATTGTGCTAGCACCAGCTCTCTGCTGTACTCATATTTATGAGTGTACTCACATTTATTCTTAGCTGATTAAATTTGAAGGTGTCAACCAGCCCTGCTATGAGAACATTACTTTAAGCCTGGTTTACCATAAATACCAGCATGCTCAACCTCCATTCTCAACTAAGGAAGAATCTTCCTGCTGTTTAAAGTCAAAGAATCCAATGATTACAGCACTATAATCAAAGCTAGGTGCCTGTGTGCCCACTAATAAAGTCAGAGAAAAGAGTAATCCAAACATACTCCATTAGCAAAACTCATTCCATTTCTTTTATATTTTCTACCTGTGAAATCTACAGATCTTCCAGGACCCTACCCCCAAAGCCTCCATCAATGTACCTCAAAGTTCAACATTAGCCCACCTCATTTGTGTCTCCACATACAGTGTGGGAGTTGTGCACTGCACAACCTTTGGGGTACCAGTCACATGGTAAAAGTCATAAATGTGAATATTTGTAAGCATGACTTATAAATTGGTAATAGCAGTAAAAATATGTGGGTTTTTTTTCATAAAATCAGTGTATTACAACAATTTTCAACAGAAAATAATAGTGTTCTAAAGAGGGCACATAGTTTTCTAATTTATATCAAAACATTAGATTAGCTGTGATCTTGTCACAAACCAATTCAGATAAATCAGTTAAATTAACCATTTGATAATGTGTATAATAATGGGCAGGGATTTTTTTTTTTTCCTGTTGGAGGCAATTATAAAGAGTGGTAAGAGTTAGCTTAGGACTCACACATCTCCCTGAAAAGTGACTTAAATCACTTTCTTCCTAACTTTTTCAAAAAATCAGTTTTGTCACTGCCCATTTACAGACCAAGGAAAAAGGGTCATAGAGATTTCATCTACTTAAAGACTGCTTTTTAAATTAGGAAAAAAATGTGTTCAAAAGTATATGCATTTTTCCCTCCTTTCCCCTACAAAACCAGAGAGGGAGACAAACCATAAGACACTCTTAATCTCAGGAAACAAACTGAGGGTTGCTGGAGTGGAGGGGGGTGGGAGGGATGGGGTGGCTGGGTGATGGACACTGGGGAGGGTATGTGCTATGGTGAGCGCTGTGAATTGTGTAAGACGGATGAATCACAGACCCGTACTCCTGAAACAAATACATACATAAATAAATAAATAAATAAATAAATAAATAAATAAATAAATAAAAATTTTTAAAAGTATATGCAATAAATAATAAAAACTCAAAGTTCTTTAATTCCATCTGTATCTAGAAAAGAGAGGGCAGGGGAAGGAGAAAGGATAGGAAGAGGGAACAGAGGGGAAAATATAAAGTGAGGTGAGGAGTCAGGGCAGGGCAAGGAAGGAAATGAGATACAAAGAAAGAAATCCAAGGACATAAGTATGTAGGAAGAAAGGAGAGACGTGTAGAAGAGCTATAACAAGAAAGATAAGAGAGGGCAAAGATCAAAGAAAAGATAGTGTAAATTTTCAGATGAGTGATGGTTGAAAAGTAAACTCATTTGGTTCTGTTTTTTTTTCCATGGTTTATGGAAAAAGTTACCTTGCCACGGAACTGGGCACCAACAATTCATCACAGCTCTTTAACTATTCAATATTTCTATACTTTCCAGGATTCTTTTCCAGCAACTCACCAGAGGTATAGCTGTTTCCTTCACTACAGTAGCAAGGTGACCAAGCTGACTTGGCTGAATAAATTAAGCCAAGCCAAAAAGAGAAGAATAAACTACTTTCCCTGAGAGACCTGGTAGCTTCTGATATTACATGGACTGCTGTGGATAGACAAAAGACAGAAAGATTGACACTCTGATTCCTTGTTAAAGTAGGTTCAATAGGGAATAATTAAAACTCACCATGCTCAGCTACGGTAAAAAGAATCCACTGGAGTCATCCAATTCTAATCAACAATTAAACTATACATGAGTGAACTATTTAGGTACATCTGGGTCAGACAGCTACAGACATTGTTTTTATTACTATGTGAGGTCTTGGGGTTTCTGAAGATACTGGTTTGAATATGAAAAGAATAACCATCATGGTTATTTCACAGATCATTAAGTTGACCCCAATATCCCATCTCCTCCTAGTATCAGATATGCACAAAGAAAGTATCTTCTGGTGACAGTTTATCTCTTTTTCCACAGTGCTCCTATATACCTAAGTGTGGAAAAAATTTTGAAGAATCCTTGTCCCTGGTGAATGTCGTCATGGAAAACTTCAGGAAGTATCAACACTTCTCCTGCTATTCTGACCCAGAAGGAAACCAGAAGAGTGTCATCCTAACCAAACTCTACAGTTCCAACGTGCTGTTCCATTCACTGTTCTGGCCAACGTGTATGATGGCTGGGGGCGTGGTGATCGTTGCCATGGTGAAACTCACACAGTACCTCTCCCTGCTCTGTGAGAGGATCCAACGGATCAATAGATAAAAGCAAAATGGATGAGATCATTTTCTTTAAAGCTCAAATACTGTTTTCTTTCATTCTTCACCAAAGAACCTTAAGTTTGTAATGTGCAGTCTGTTATGAGTTCCTCAATATATTCTTATACATAGAGCAATAATGCAAAAGCTGTTCTATATGCAAACATGATGTCTTTATTATTCAGGAGAAGAAATAACTGTTTTGTGTTGGTTGTTTTCATAATCTTGTTTTGATGCTGGAACTAGTACTTCCTTGTCTCGTTCCACCAAAATAGGGCTCAGTTATTTATTTGCCAAGCTTTGTGGAGGAATGTAGACAATATCAAAGTGATAAAGTCTGTGTTCTCAATTGTCCAATCTCTTGAAGACATTTCTGCAATATTTTTCATCATTCATTGTTTACTAAAGCTGCAGCCAAAAATATTCTTTCTTTTCTTACTCAAAACTGAGCCCTGTAAGCAAGTAAAGGGACCAGATTTCCTAACTAAAGGATGTTAAGCATTTTCCTTATATTTCTACCATATCACTGTAAAGAAGGGGGGAAATCCAGACAGTTATTTCTCTTTTATTATTTTCTATTCATAACTTCAGATTTTTTAACTGATTTCCAAAAAATAAGCTGTTTTCATTATCCAATTCTATAACCTCTTCCTGTGATTTAAATAGAAAATGAACAGAACCCTTTTCCATTAAAGACCCTGCTACTGTGTGAGGAGATAACACTTAACAAAGAGTTTCATTACCTGTGAATTGACTGAACGTTGAGTAAATGTACCATTGCCAACCAGGAAGGTCTATGTCACTAAGATATTGATGTGAAAATCCTTATTCTATTTCAATTGAACTGTTAGATGGTAAAATTAAGATCCTACTTGCTGGTCAAGACTGGTGGACTGATTTCAATGGATAAATCTATTGTGGCAAATTAACATATTGGAATGTTACTCTTTGGGAACTTATTTTTAAATGAGTGTGTAGTCTCTCTTTCTGACAAGTGTTCCCCATTGGGATTTTAATTCTGTGTGCAGAGAATATTTGTCTCCTCTACATGTTTTATTTTTCTATTTACAATTCTCTTTTTTGTTGCTAGATTTTATACTCAGAGTAGACCTTTTTCCTAACACACACTTAAAATGAATAACAGATCTAGAGGAAGACTTTGTTCACATTGCCCTTTACTTATCGTGTTGCGGGGAGGCGGGGAGGTGGGAGCAGAATGAGGGACTGGTTTTAAACAAAAACATTCCATCTTTTATTTAACATCAATATCAAAAGGAGAAGACAAACATTTATCTTTCTCATCTATATTTAAGTACCCTTTTATAACATAGTATCAAAGTTTTCTAGATATTGGGAAATTTTACAAAACGTATTTGTGGAATGCATGGTGAAACTAATCTGATGAAGTGGAAAGTTTCCTGCAATACTGTAATTCATAGTTTGAGTTTCCATAAGCACTTAAATCCTTACAGTGCAATTGGGGCTTCAAATGTGTAATTAAAATTTTAAAACACAAAATCCATTACATCAGCAAGATTTGAATACCTCTTGCATTCTAAGCTGACAAGCCCATGGTCGTCCAAAAATGTAGAATTCACTATCATTAAAGGTATTTAAAGAGATTATAAAGAAAGTTGCTTTAACACCCAAACACACACAACTTTCAAACAATATTAGGAATATTGCTTGAAAATATGATGGAAAACTCGATTCCTACCCTACCTGAAAAACATAATTCCGAAGATGATAGGAAAATCTTTGTGACTATGGAGCTGAAAATTTATAATCTTTAATGTTCCTTGAGCTTCCCTTCAAGTAATCCAAAGATGAATTATTTTTTTTCAGACTTGTAATTAAAAATTCCCAATTGATGTTTCAGATAAGATTTAAGGAATCTTAAAATAATTACACCAAAAAAACATTAACATTAATTCAGTGTCTTTCTGAATTCCCATAAAAAACAGCCCTTTAAGTAATTTAAATGTATACACAATTAAATGCTCATTATTAAAGACAAATAAACTGGGATTAATAATAATGTTTTAAATACACTGCATATGTTAAATAACTTAATCTTTATTATAACCCTATTGGAGAAAGCACTATTATTTTCCCATTCTATAGAGGAGAATGTTGAAGCCTAGAGATGTTAAGTAACTTCACCAAGGTTACACAGAAACTAAGATAGCAGAGAGCTGAGAAAATACCCAATTTGTAGCTGCTCCATTATAGTAACCATTTCCATGGCTTTGGGGTATTTTAGATAAGACCGAGGAAGGCTAAGGTTTAGAAAGAATTATAGGAGTGAGGGGTAAAGAAGAAAGACCACTGAACTAGAAGTCAAAGATGTCATTCAAGACATGGTGACAGATGACTTCTGCTTCTTGATTAGTCTCTTGACTTCTTGGACTGTAGGATTAGAATGTGAGGCCAGTTGACCACTGAGTTCCCTTTTAACACTAGCATTTCATCCTAGGTGTGTGGAAGGAAGAATGAATACCATTCCCCAACCTGCATGAGCACAGATCTGATCCTCAAATAGAATCTACTAGTATTAATCCATGGATTAAAAAGCAGCCTCCCTGCTAATATTCCCCATAAGCCACAGGCCCCTTCTTTAGGGCCCAAACTTGATTTACACCTGCCAGAAGCAGAACTCTGAGCCTTCACATTACTCAACAAAGATGATATCCCCCACAGAGTATCTGTGCTTCCAAATCACTTTCATTATCCAATTGGTATATCCCATCTAAAACTTTATTGATTTCAAATTCCCTGAGTTACAATTATATTAAAATCTGGAAAATGGTAAATATACCAATGATTGCTTGCAAATAGCCATAATAAAAAATATGATTCTCTAGAAAGCTGACTGATCGTAACGATGGTATAGGCAACCATAAAATACCTCTTATGTAGGCCATGTGACATATAGGGTTCCAGCATGTTACTCTTTTTTCATTGTTGTAAATGACCAAAAGAGTGATCATGCCTGGCATTTATATAACAAATATTATTTTCAATATGTCAAACCATAAACATCTTATCACATTTCAGTGGGCGAAACATCTCGACACTGTAATCATTCCATCGACATTAACAGTGAGATCTGTAGGACAGTAAAATAATATGAGCAATTGATTCCAGTGAGTTAAAACAATAATTTTAATGCAGTGATTTGTCATTCACAGGCATAAATTTCCTCCCCTGCCCTGCCAAAGTACTGAAATGAACACTGTTCAAGCAAGTAAGGGAATTTTTGTCCTGGTGGGGAAGAAGAGATGATTACAGGTTGGATATTTTTCCTTCTCTTCCCAACTTCTACTTCTTTCCCTTTCCCTTTGTAAAACATTCAGTAAGAATGATCTCAGAGTTCTGCAGGAACCATTCCAGTGTATGTACGTACCACTTGGGAAGTTTGACTCAAGGAAAAAAGCTTCAGGACTCTTCTGAAAAACCTGTCAGGGTATCACTTCTCGGCCTTTTGGCTAAGATCAAGTGAAAACCTGTCAGGGTGACGTGCACAACAGAACTGAGCACACAACTTTTAAGCTGCATCTGTTCCACCTTTCCATATTTGCAGCAACTGTAAGGAATAATACAAAGTATATGACACTACCTTCTCTCCTAAGAATGAGTTTGTAATCCACTAGACAGGTCAAGACAACACACATGAAGAAAAAAATAGAGAACAATTAGGTCTTTAATCCACACCAGTGAGCATAATATCTACAGAGGGTCGACACGAGGCTTACCTGGGATGTATATGTAAAATGTCTAGCACTGTATATAGCATATAGTACACACTTACAACTGGTAATTATTATTATTAATAGCAAAATGTAGAAGTAGTATTAATAGTATTAGTATAACTACTAGTAGTATTTAGTCTATTAGAGCTAGAATAGAATAGCTCTAAAATGTCGTTTTTGCCCAGAATCTACACCAATGCGTAAATCCCTTCTACAACATCCTTAGCAGGGATCATCTAGTGATAGGGACAGTTACTACTTGAATCCTGCCAGGGATGGGATAGGTTACCAGTTAATAAGACAATGCCAGAAAGTTTTCCTGATATCAGGCTGAAATCTGCCTCCCTATAATATCTACCCACTAAATTCACACAAAATCAGATCAGTATTCCTTTGTCACTAACTTATTCTATTAGTGCTATTTTATTTAAAAATGGAGGAGGGAATGGGGAAAGAGCAACTTCATTTTTTAGAATATAAAATCATGGAAAATCACACATTCAGCCAGGGTTATGACATAAATGAAAATTTATAAATGACATCAACTTTAAACGGTTAATAATAACCTATTAGAACCTAAACATTCATGAATGAATTAAACTGATGAACTAGCTTAACCCTCTGATGCCCATGTGAATTTTAATCCTGTACCACCTCTCAAGTTTGAATGGTAATACTGTCTGAAGTTCTACATTATGTTCTTATTCAACTCTGTGACACCAGACTAACTTGTCTAAGTAACCAGATTACTTAGGAGCATAGATATGTTCCTAACAGAAAGTTGCAACAATTATGCCACGAGTTTGTCTTGGCTAAGGTACCATTCTCCAGTGCAAGGCCAAGGAACTGGAAGGAAATGTCAATCTGTGAACTCCAGTAGTGACTCTTTGAATTAAGTGCTTCATTTAGGTAGGAAGAGAAGTTGTTTTCTCAATATAATCCCTTAACTAGAGCTTCCAGAACTGTTCTTTAGTCTGGTTCTTCCAAAACAAATATAATTCCCAAGCCTTTGCAAGCTGTAATATGACTTGTTACCAACATCGTGTAAGATCAGGACATGGAGAAGGCTCAAGATCCTCTACACAGTCTCACCCCCTATTAGCACCATTAGCAGTACCAGAAATTGCTTTGGGTAGAAATCACAACCTCTCTTCATAAAAATCTCCTCTCTCTCTGTGTCTCTCTCTCTGTTTCTGTCTCTGTGTGTGTGTGTCTCTCAATCTGTCACACTCTCTCTCTGTGTCTCTATCTCTGTCACTCTCTCTCAGCTGTTTTTTCTGTTGGTTGTATTCTTAATCTTCATACACCAGCAAAGATGGCCCCATGTCCACAAAAATCCCTCGTGTCTATAATTACAGAAGGAGAATAACCCAGCATTTCTCTCAGTCCTCAAAAATGCCAACTCTCTCTGTATCACCTGTCATGACAGAGGCAGGGCATGTAATTTGCAGCCCCATTGAGTGGGAGCCAAGTAATTCTCCAAAGGAAAATGGGTATGTGTTAAAGAAGAGAAGAAGGGGTGCTGGGCAAGCAAAAACAACAGATGTCCACTACCTACAACTTGGATAGACTCTTACCAAGTGCTTCTACCAACAGAGATTTTGGCTGAAGGAGAAAAAGTACCGCAGATAAAAGAAGAAAAACTCATGGGACTAAGAGGGAAAAGGAGAGAAAGAACTAGTGCTCAGAATTTACTTTGCAATTTTTCTATTAGTTATTAATAAAGTTTAAAAGAAAAAGAAATTTCTGATTTTCATTCAATGAGAGACGTGGGGATATTTTGGTTTCAGCAAAGGACAAGAGGTTCCCTTAGAAACAACTAATATTGCAAGAAGAGGAAAGAGTTGATGGGAAATAAACTAATTTAAAAAAAGGGAGAGGATCATAAACCACAGGAAAAGGAGAGTGGGAATTAGAAAATCTAATTAAAGAAACTATTGCTATTCCCTCAGATATTAGAACTTCTCCATGCTTTTCTTGAGGGCCTTGTTCTTTGGGCTGATAAATCCCTATCTGGATTAGCACAGAGTCAGTTGCCCCGTTTTCTTCTGATTTGGGAGTAAATTCATTTAAGGAGCACACAAAGAGACGAAGGCCTGGATTCTTTCTACCCACTAACATTTTCACACATCATAACATTTAAGAAAATGATTCCTAACCAAAAAAAAAAAAAAAGGAGGAGGAGGAGGAAGAGAAAATTATTCCTTCTTGGACCATGCAATGAGAGATCTTGTCACAGAGACCTCAACAGGAAGCATTACTCACCACCTGCAACCTGACCTACCATCTGCAAAGCCATGGTGTCTTCAACATCTAGACATCCATATAATACCCTCAACTTAGGTCTGTCCAAATTCATTAGCCTCCTCCAGCTGGACAGTCACCAAAGCTCAGCCCTTTTATTTGCTGCATTAAAAATCCAGCCGTTTGTGAGGCAGCTGCAAACCCCGACACTTAGCTCCTTCCGGTGGCACGCAAACACAACAGCCATCCCTGCATCATCCTTGACAGGACCGCAGTATCATTCTGGAACAATTAACAGTGTTTGTATCTAACCGGAAGTATTCAGCTGCTGTAGCTAACATCTAGCGATACTGGGAAGAAAGTACAGGGTTCAGATGGGGGACTCATACTGCATATAAAATATATCCCTTCCTTTCAACGGTTGTGGCAAATACAGAATTCGGTGCCAGTGCTACACTTAGGTCCATTTCTAGAAAGTCAGAATCAGCTGAGAAGTTTCAGTTTTCCTAGAAAAAGGGAGTGCT